GTGTGGAAACAAGAAACAACAGTCAATATAAAGATAAATTTGAAGGCACAAGACAGACAGACATGCACTTATCCATAAATAAAACATTGCTCCCATGGCCTCCTTACAAAACCATACCACCTTCTGTGGTTTCTCACAGCAAACACAGGAGGTTGACTACTTCTGTTAGTTCTCTTTCCTTCCCAGGCTCTCAAGGTTTATTTTTAAATGAAATACAGAATGATGTTTTGAAGATTGTGACAGTGGGCAAGCCCTCTTTCTCCACAGGAGGGATGCAGCAATAAAGCTGGCCCTGCCAGGTGCTGACCTGCCTATCTCTTTGGGGTAGGGTTGTTCAGCTGCAGTGAAGCCCAGGGGTCTGAGACTCAGTCAGGATGCCAACATCAGTGGTAGCATCACCAGAGTACTGACCACAAACCATGTGGAATCAACAGATTTAGCTAAGTAACTACTAAGCTAAGCCACATATCAACCAGTGGCCTAAGAGCCAAAAGTGCTGATTTCTGAGTCAGCACACACTACTGACACGCTCCCTTCTGGCATCTCCATCCACCAGCCTAGTTTACCCCTCATGTTGCTTTCCAGAGGGAACATCCTCCCCAGCACCCTGGCACAGACACAGGCTCACTCACAGCAACACCCCCATCCAGCAAAGCCTCCCACAGGAGAATATGTTCTATTCTGGGGTTTTATGGGGAAGCAGTGACCCACCGTGAATGTGTTCTCTCCTGGGACCATTCCCCACAGATAAATCCATGTAAGGTATTAGTGCTGCACAGCAGCACAGGGCACTCTCACAGCTGCTTTTAGGCTGCATCAATGCTCATTTACAGAGGTAAGGAGATCCCTTATGTTTGTAAGCAGGGGTTCAGAGGCACTTGAAAAATGAAACCTATAAACCTATTAGTGCAAATTTAACAACATAAATAAGAGCCTATGGTCAAAAAGCTCCAACTGCTTTTCTCTTGCAGATTCAAAGCAAAGAAGGAATCCAGTCAGATTTGTATCACTGCTTCCTTGCTCTATAAATAGCTGCAACTGCCATTCTAAAAATAAACCAGATAAATATTTAAGGCCCACTGCTACTTAACTTACTATTGTGCTTACATACTGCTTACTGTTGTGTAAATCAGGAGAAATATCAATGAGATCCATAAATTTACACCACAATGCTTTGCTGAAGTGAGAGGGAAGGACTGTTTTTCCAGTGATTACAGAAAAGTCCTCCCATGAACACTTCACCATCCTCTTTCCTTCCCCTGACCTACAGATCCCTTTGACAGCCATGGGAAAACAAGCATGGGGGAAACGCCAAGAAAGCTGCTACAGTCCTTTTGCCTAATCCATAGGAAGGATAAATAATTTTTTTAAAGGGTACCTCTGTCCTATTTATGTTTTAAACTTAGCCTGAACAAGGATTGCAAAAGATGCCTGCTCCCTAGAGCAGTTTAGGAGTAAGTACTCTGCTGGAATTTTCTACTTAGCTTGGTATCTATACTTGTCAAATAAAACAGCGATTACCATAAAACTACAGTAAAAATAAGCAGCTATACTCTTCTTTTGTAGATAATTTGTCTGTCCCCAGAATAACTCAGTATTTTGCCCATGAAATACTTCAGACTAATACACTTCTGAAAAAAAAGAGTTGGAGATGAATAAAATAGTCTCAAATAGCTCTTCTATCTAATTTTAACTCAAAGACACCATTTTACATCAAATAAAAAGACAACAAAATGCACCTGATAATGAATCACATTATTTGTGAGGGCACTAACAGAACACAAATTATTTGTACTGCTGGAATAAACATTGAACAGAATCCACCAAAACATGTGCAACTATTTAAAGGAAAACACAGTCATTCTCCATCCTGAATAAACCAAGGGGAAAAAACCAACCCAATCCAACCAAACCAAGACCAACCCAAACTGTTCTTGAGCACGCATAGGTATTGTGTTATTCTGACTACATAGGAAAACTAAAGACACAAAGGCTGCCTGTTTTGCTATTTTTCCTTGCTTTTCCAGGAAACCAAATATTAAGTACCTGGCTTACTAACCTCCAGCAGTTGATCCTGCTTCCTTTGACGTTCACCTCCTACGAATGACACAATCCAACACCCACATACTAGCTCTAAGAAATCAAGAATGCTGTTGCTTCAACAACCCCCCATGCATTTGGGGCTAGCCAAAGAAAGATGAAACACCCTGGAACTCTGCAAACAAATTATACCCACTGCTGACGTAAGGAGCGGGAAGGGAGGGCAAAGGGGAAAAAAGAAAAATTAAATAAACCAGAGGAAGCATCCTTAGTCATCCAGAGCAATGTGTTTAGATTTTAAGAGCACACCTGGAAATTGAAAGCCTCTATTAGCTCTAGATAGAAAGTAAAGAGCAGGCTGCAAGTGGGCAATGAGCATTTTCTTGTGGGGTGGAAATAGGAGTCGAGTGCCTTCTCCTCAGCCTGGACTTGCAGGGGCTGCCTCCAACAGCACAAGAGCCCAAGGCAGGCAGGGCTTTGGGGAGCACAGAGGAGATCCCTCCCCACCTTACACAGCTGTTGCCTATTCCTGCTGCACAAGCCAAATAAGTCATCAGCAGGGAGCACCTGGGGCCTTTGTGGAAAAACAGGGATTCAGCAGCATTGAGAGGATTTGGTATCCTGTATAACACTGCAGCCAGGCTTTTACACACCTAGATGAGGGCGTTGTGGATGATGTTGAGTGTTTTAGGAGTCAGAGGGTGGCAGGACTCAAAAAACCTGGGAGGAAAATACATGCTGTGGACATGGTCTGCACTGCTCCCCTTCCTCCTTCCCCTGTTAATAAAGTGTCAATTTGTCATGCATGGAGCTTGAGAGCTGTGCATGCTGCATCTCAGGAATGTCACCATCGCTGGGACCAGCAGCATTGCTGCCTGCCACAGCCAGGTCTTCCCTTGAGTACTCCTAGCCAAAAGCAGTTCTCATTCAACTTCCCACAGCTGAAAAGACCTGGGAAGGGCAGAGCCGACCTGCACCTATAAGTGACCTTCCCCTTCTCCCCCTATTTTGAATTATATTTGAGAAAACAGGCAAAAATACCACCTTTAAGCTCAGAGCCCCAGCTTTGGCCTAAGCACAGCGCCATTTAGGAAATCAGACAAACAAATGGGAAGAAAGGAAAATGCTGCATAATTACTCAGAGCCACCCTGAAAGGAGGGCTGTTACCAAAACCACTGAGTCTCTTTTACTGAGGATTTCTTACTGCAGTAGAACGCTGCCTAATAGCTGCTATATCCTGCTTGAGTGAGTATATTCTCCTCGGAAAACAGGCAAAGGTTTCTAATAGTTTTTGACAGAGTGTGGTCCCCTAAAGCTACATTTTCTGTCTGATTCATGCTGACTAACTGTAACCCTACGACAGTTATTGAAAGTTAATTAGCGGTGAAGTGCTAAGAGCTCTAAAAATGAAAATACAAGCGAGAACTGACTGCAGAGTGTCTCCCTTTCCAGAAAAAATACTGTCAAGAAGGTTAACATAACCAAAAAAATATTGCAAGTTGAAAATGTGAGAGGGATTCCTCTAATAACTTGGCTGTGATGGTCCCTTGTTGTGTAGACACACAGCTGAGAGGTAACACATTCCTAAGGGTTTATCAGGGACTCAAGGAACAAACCCCAGTATTTTGGTTTATTAAATTTGCTAGAGGAAGTGACTGGAAAGTTACATAGAGACAACACCCAAGTTACATAAAGACAAAGATACAAATCAATTGCTGCTTCCTTTGGGGAGTCAAGTTTGTCAGATGTTGCACACGCTATCAAATCCCAACTCTTTTTGCCCTTATCCTTCACTTCCTCGATGTTTGCAAGGAAAAATCCACAGTTAGATGCAAGCCCAGCCAGAGCTAAGCGGGCGTAGGAGGTGAGGCGAGGCGAGCCACAGCCCTGCACCACCCACTCCCTGCAGATGTAAGCGCCGAGACAAGGTGCGAGGCAGTGGGCAGCACCCTTCAGGTGTTAAAAAGCCCATCCTGGCACCTCCAGAAGTTGGATACAGCCCTAAACAATAAAAAATAAAACTAAAGGCAACCTTCACGCAGAGAAGGGGCATTGTTTTAAGAACAAGGAAGGGAACGCATTGAAGCAAAGCAAGTAGGTTGGAAAAGCCAAATGTAGGGCTCAGTATAAAAATAGGTAACAGTGATGCCAGAATGCCTTGGCAAAATTTTGTTTATTGATTTTCACAGAATAGGGAAAAAAAGCTCCAGCCCTTTCCACCCCTGACTGCTGACTGTGACTCACAGTGATCTAAAAAGACTGCAATGAGCAAGCGGGGACTGAGCTGAGCTGGACCTCACTCACTTCTTCACAGGGCTGACAGGAGAAAGGTGTCCTGCTCCAGGGTTTCCCTTGTGTCTGCCCAGGAAATACAGAATAGCTGTGGATGTTCACCTCCGTCACAACGTGTCACACTCCGTCCAGGCGGGTCCTCCGGGCGGACAGGGGCTCTGAGTAACGCGTGGCTGGCTCAGCGTCCGGCTCAGCCAGCGCCGCTTGCCGGCGCCCCGCTGACGGGCTCGGCCTCTCCCCGGGGCTGGCAGCGGCTGTGCGAGGAGGACGACGTGCCCTGATCCCGCCCAGCTGCGTGACCGCCCGCGCTGAGGTCTGCAGGTGTCACGAGCTGTCCACGTTTGGTTTGGAACTGCTTTACGCCTTCACTGGGCAGCCAAGGCTCTCGCTCTGAGGGGATCACAACCCCAGGGCACGCTTTGGGCTGAGCGGTGCTCGATGCTTTCCCTCCTCCTTTCCAAGCGCGCCCTCTCAACCCCTCGGCAGGCGGGAGAGGGGCCGGGGCTGCAGCCGAGCGGGGGCTGAGGGTGACAGCCCGGCCCCGGCCCCGCGGGGGAGCGGGCAGCGGGGCCGCGCCGCCCCTGCCCCGCCCTTCGCCGGCCGCGAGGGCCGAGCCTGGAGCGGCGGCGGCCGCATGGCTCCGGCGGGGCCGCCCCGCCGCCGGCAGCGCCCGCGGGCCCGCCCGGGGCCGGGGCTGCTCCTGCTGCTCGTCCGGCTGGCGCTGCCCGGGGCGGCCGCGGGCAGCGGGGAGGCGCCGCCAGCAGGTACTGCCCGTCCCCCCCGGCCCGGGGCAGGGCGGGTGCTCGCAGGCCGGGGCTCCTCAGCCCCGTCCCCTCGGGAGCAGGGACGCGCCCCGCTGCCGCCCAGCATGGCGCTGCCCGGCTGGCAGCACGGCGGAGCCGGGGCAGCCGCGGCCCGGGCGGCGCCGCGCGGCCCGGGCGGTGCCGTGCCCCTTCTCCCGTCGCTGTCCGGGCCCGCAGCACGGCCCGCGCCCGGCCGGGAGCGCGGGGCCGCGGGGAGCCGGCCCGGGCGGGCCCGCACGGACAAAGGCACCGCGGCGCACAAGGGCGGGCGCGTCCCTCCCGCGCCTCGGAGCTCCTCTGGGTGTGCGACTCCCTCAGGAGCTGGGCTAGGGGAATCGGGCGTAGAACAGATCTTTAATTAACATACTTGAGGGCAGGCAAACCCCTAAAGGCCGTGCTCGGTTGCAGTAGCAATAAGGAACTCGAGAACCGGCTTCCTCCTTGCGTTGACGTTCTCGAGTCTCGGGCATCCTCCGGATTCTGCAGCAGATGCTGATGGCTCATAATTTCGAATTTCTTTGTTTGCAGTCTCAGAATTTGAGAGATACTCTACTCGTGTGTGCTCCCAATAGCTAAACCCAGCACCACCTCAGAGATACCTGTACAGCAGCATCTCTCCTTTTGGAACGTCATTGTTTCACTCTGTTGAGCTGATGCAATATCTCAAGTAGCTGATTTTTCTCAAGAAAAATGTCTTAAAACTTTGCATAGTAAGAATATCCTTGCTAGCCTTGCATGTGGATGACATTGCCTTTGACAGGGATGGGTACTTAATCCATAGTGGCTGGAAATCCTAAAATGCCCTTCAGGGAAGGTGTGGACACCCTGGGCTGTGTTTTGGCCCTGCCATTTCCTGTTACTGGATTATCCTGGTTTTAGGCCTGGGTATCGCCCAGCCTCACCTCCTTGCTGCGTCAGTCACTCGGCAGCACGTCAGTGACAAATAATCCTTTTGCAGCATTGTGCGATGACTTTTGTGAAAGTGCCTGTCTAAAGGTACAGCCACTGCTTGTCTGAGTGGTTGTGCTCCCTCCCACTGGGTTTTCCATGGAAGAAAATTCACCCGATGGATAATTTTTCCACAAGAAAAAGTGCCCAAATTCTATAGTTAAACCAATTTAGTAGGATCATGTGTGGACAATAATTCTGTAATGCTATAATAAACTTAAGTAAGAACTATAATAAACCTAAGTAAGAACATCCACACAGTATTTTTCATTGGTTTAACTAAATTTGTTAAAATATAATTTAGCTTAATTTCATCTTCCTTACAGAGACACAGCAGGTTTTTACCTGCAAACAGCATCCCCTTGTCTGGATTGAGATTGCATATACCCATTTTGCTGCTCTGAGTGCATGACAGCATGTTAGCAGTTATTACCGAGCTTGGCTGAGACCTACATTTTCTATTCAGTAAGCTAGATGAGTCCCTCTGTTCAGATGTGTAATTATTTCCTCTATGCTTCTCTTTAATTATGTTCTTGAAACAGTGTGGTAATGCACTGTAGGGTATATTTTACACATATATATATAGATCAGAATGTATCTGAAACTTTGCTCCATTAATCTTTTAGGTCCATTTCTGCTTAGAAGTGCAATCTTAATTCTGAAGATCACAGGGGCTCACTAAGGTTTCAGGAGGGTTAGAACAATTCACATCTCTAATCCAACGATTTATGGTGAGCTGTCAGTGCAGTTCCCTTATTACATGCCATGGCTGGACTAGAACAGGAGAAAAAATGTTGTAAAAAGAAGAGTTGTGTGATTTAACATCAGAAACATTTCCGAGGGAGAGGAGTATGACTTTTGTGATCAGCAGCCGTGTCATGTGCTAAATGACTGTGTTAATATATAAGTCTGTTTACCTGCTCAGACTCCCACATTTGCATTCACCACTGGTACAGGGAACTCTGGTGGAGTTACACCCACTCATGCCAGCAGTGAATTTGGCCCAGAGGCCCTATTCCAGTGCCATCAAAACACTGATACTGAAGCCAAGCTTTTCTGGATTACATTTTTTAAAAATACCCTGGTTATTTTTTTTCCAAAAAGGGTGCAAGTCAACTTGGAACCCAAAAGAACTGAATAAAAAACCAAATTGAAATTCCAACCAAAACAAAATGAAAAAGGTTCCGGCAGCAATTAAAAAAAAGAAAAGGAACAAAAATAAAAAATTGGAATTGAAAAAAGCCCAAAAATAAACTTTTTGCTCCCCCCAGGTAAAAACTGCAGCTTATTGCATGAAATGGATATCATTCAGAAGCAGGATGAAAACTGTTACTGCTATGTGCAAAACAGAACCATTCACTTACAGTACCTGTGGTCGACTATCCAGGTGAGAGGCTGTTCTGGAGGTCAGTCAGTACTTCTCATGTGAGCTTTTTCCAGCAAACCATGTGGCCAGTTAGCAAGATCAGGGCAGCATCTCTATGGAATTAAATAGTTTGGACCATGATGAAAATGCAGCATTATGAGCCTCCAGTTGGGATGCAGTGAGGTTTGGTCTCTGGCTTGGAGTATGATGGTGCCACAAAAACATTAATTTAGGATTGTGTATTATTTTCTCACATATCTTTTTAATGGATCACTGTTAGCCTCTGCAACAAATGCTTTTGCTTATCACCAACTGCCTTTATGGAGCTTCCAAATCTGAGGACTACACACAGTTCTGTGGCTCTCACCACAGTGCACCAAAGTGTGAGAACCAAAGACTTCTTAGATTGTGACTAATGAACAAACAGCAGCAGCAGTGTGTTTGTTCTCCTGAATAGCAGAGGGTCATCTTACAAGACACACATTTAGAGATCAGTCTGAAGCAAATAAAAATCCCTTCAAGAGTGGACACAGTAACAGCTAAAGGAATGAGCTAACCAGCTCCATGGTTCTTTTTCTTTCCTGAGAAGTATGTCTCCAGACAAAGGAAACTGTTTCATTTTGTCTCTGTTGGAGGACTTTTCTCTCAGGTATAAGAAAGTGGAACATCTCTTTGTCCGTTCCCAGGACTGTTTTCTTCAGGAACATATTGCAGGTGTGTTTATGAATGGTAGCAGGCTCCAGATGGTAAAACCCTCCATCAGTCAGACAAACGTTCCTGGAGTCAATGTTTAAAAGCAGGAAGTTCAGATTTTTGCCACAACAAATTGCTTGCTGATACATTGTCTCTTTTCCCAGTACAAACGTGGTGTATTACCCATGGCATCACTTTTTTTGCAGATGGGTCTTTGTTGACTAGTAAGCCCTGATGAATGTATCAGAGTCCTCAGGAAAATCACCTCAACTTAGAAGATGGTCAAGATCTTTTCCCAGTTTGGTGGGGGAGGGCACTGGGAACCAGTAAAAAAAAACCAGAATACCCAACAGGAATGTGCTTCTATTTAAATTTCTGGTTATGCTATCTTTCATTTTCGTCATCCCTCTTATGTCCCCAACAAGAAGATTGCATTATAAAGAAAAGCAAGTCAAATTTGTTACGGTTCAGGAGGGGAAGGAGGAGACATATAAACATTCACAAAACAAACTGTGGTCAGTCAGATATTAGTGGCTTTGTCGGAAATTTGTGTGGGCAAGTGTCACAGTAAAACCAAACCCACTGTGCTTTTGGATGGGTTGAGGTGCCTCCACTGAACTTGGCTGCCAGTGAGTCCTCTGAATTACCTTGTAAGGAGATTAACTGTAAACAATTAATCTTTGCATAATGTAAATAACCAATACTAGACAATTAAGATTGTTTTTCATTTCCACGTGAATGGCTGATACGCAGTATAGTTCACAAAACCCCACAGTGATTCTAAGCTGCTTTTCTGTGTATTCTCTTCTTTGTTTCTAGATAAAAGTTACCAGCAGAGAAAAGTTCCGGTTTGAGCCTATTTCAGAAAAAAAAACCTGTCAGAATTCAGAAACTGTTTTTGAGTTTGCTGCATGTGCTGTTCAAATCCTCTGGAAGCCAGAGACATGTACAGAAACTTTCCTGAGCATAAAACAATATGGAGAGGATGTTTGTTTCAAAATACAACCCTTCAAAATTGAACCATACGTTGTGAGGGTGAAAAGAGAAAGTAAGTACCAAATCTTTGAGTTTAGATTACAGATTGCTTGGTATTGCCAGTGCTAGTGCATGTGCCATCTCTTCTATAAGAAGCTTGGGACTTTTTTGTTGATATTTTATATAATCAGCATTTCAGATTGAATTAGTCTAAAGTCAATTTCTATTTCTCTCCCCCTTTTTTAGTGCTAGATGGAAAGCTCTTGTTTTTGTTTGTAGCTGGAATTTTTCTGTTCCATTTTGCAAACAGCCTGAGCAGGTGAGTACTGGCTGCTTTTGACCTTCTTTCCCAAAGCCTGTGCATCTTTGGTCTGTTTGCTAGGCTAAAGAGGCAGTTCTTTGGGAAAGTGAAATAAGGAACTGAATATATATTTAAAACTTCCTCATTCCATTTGTGTTTGGACAGATTGTAACGTACCTTGGAGTGCCTAAACGCTGTTTATCAATAAGCTGTGTTAGGGTTTCTGTATCCAAGCTTCCTGCACTGGGGACACCAGGACAATCAATCCTCAGTGAGCAAGTGTGTGGATCAGAAAAGTCCCTTTTCCCTTTTGTAGACCACTGAGGAGAGCTGAATATAATAATACTGATTAATTAATAAATAATACTGATTATTAATGATGCCTTTCCTTGGGGGGAAATATTTAGGATGAAGTCATCTGGGGCCTCTTCTGCCTCCACCTTTGTGCCAGGCTTTCTTCTGATGCACATTTTTCATAGCATGAAAGGGAGGATACACAGCTGTTACAGCAAAACATGTGCCCACAGCTTTAAAGCAAAGTGAGTCACAAAATAATTGTCAGGAGGCACCTCTAAAACAAGCAGAGCAGCAGTAGGGTTTATAGCATTAACCCTGAATAAAGAAAATGGAATTTATAAATGCATATGCTTAGGAAAAGAAAATTTGTGGGTTTGTGGAGGGTTTTCTGCATTTGAAATTAAAATAAATCTTCTCTTGCAGTACAGAACCATATTGGTTATTTCATTTTCTTCTGTGTACTAGAGACTAGAAGGTCAATGCAATCAGAAGTAGCATGTGCTTTAAAAAACCCCAGCACAGTCTCTTAACCTGTAACAACATGGCCTGTTTACCATATAACTCTAACTTACAGCTGCTTTAAGTTCTTACTGAAGATCACCACTGTTTTTACAAATGTTGGCATCTTAACCAATTACAAATGATACTTCTCACCATATTCTCTCTTGTTCTCTTTACAGGAGTGCCAAGTTCTTTTACCTTTCTGGAATAATACTGGGTGTTCTTGCTCTGCTAGTCTTTGTCCTGTTGACACTTAAAAGGTTTATTCCAAGGGTAAATCTACATTTATAAAACAAAATAATAGTAATCATCATAATACAAGAAATAAGACAGTACAGAGCCAGATTCTGACCTTGTTCTGGTTTTGTGGCCAGGTAACTGCACTGAAATGACTGCAGGATTGAATCAAGTAAATAGAGTTAGGTCAGAGTCAAGTTCTATTTAGTTTAAACTCTCCTGAGTTTAAACTGAGCAGGTGTTGGTTGGTGATGTAAAAGAAGAGTTCATTCTGAAACATAAAATATTTTTATTGAACTGGAGCTAAGTTTACCTTTGAATCTGCGAATCAATCTAAATAAAAATACAGTGGCAACTGAGACAGATTCTCTTACATTCACCAAAGACAATTAATTGTACGGCAGATATGAAATTTTCCTTTAGTTTTATAAAGCCTGTGCAGTCCCATAATATTGCTGAGATACATTAATTGGGAACACATGTCTGTAGGGTTATACTATGACATTGGGACATGATGCACAAATACAGGGATGCAGTTGCTCTGCCTGGAATTGACTGGTTTTTTGTAGCATGCAGAGGACTCTGCAGAGGAAGTCTCAAACCCTGTAGGTCTAAAGAATTTCACATCTGTTTTTGTCTGTGAGTTCCTTTGGAAACAATGGTCCTGAATCTGGCTTGAATTTTTTTAATGAAGTTTTTTTAACTTCTTTTATTTTATTTTTAATTTCTAGCACAGCACCTTCTGGATTTTAATGAGTGGCTCCTGGATGGTCTCTCTCTATTTTATTTACTGCTTCAAAGAGAATATACAGTGGTTATGGTCTGAACACAAAAACTACCTGTTGGGTAAGAAAATTACCAAGAAATATGCTGCAGATTTTGGTTTAATTTAGTGGTCAGATGAATACCTGCCCATAAAAAAAAGAAAATCAAGTGACTCATTTATAGAATTCTATTTTCTCCTAAGCCATAGATGTTGAAACATTCTGAAGGTTCCTAATCCCTTTAAGTGAGTGTTTACTCACATTGTATCATTAAATAAAGATTTTGATGCAGAGGACTAGTGCTAAGAGCAGATTTTGCTTGCATTATTTGCTCACTGATTTGCTGTTACATACTTTTCCTGTAAGAGCAAAAGAGCAGCTCCTCTGGTTTGCAGTTTGCTGGATGTGGGAAATGGGTACACACACAGGGAACGGGATGTGGCTGCAGGGGCTGATAAACCTATTGATCAACCTGCCTTGACATGGTCATGTGAGGAGAATTCATGTGCAGCCCACAGCACTGGCTAAAAGCTGTTCAGAGATAACCTTGTGAACTCTTGGCACACTTTGGAAATAGAAAGCACATCATGTCTGTAAGACAACACAAGAATCAGCAGGCTACACTTCACAACAGCTGCAAGCTTTGAGAGGCAAAGTAAAGTTTATAGGGGTAGTTTGCATCTCTTTCTCCATGTCCTTTTCTGTTCCTACAGGGTATTTTCTGGCTGTTGGGATTACCAGCTTTGCCATTTGCTATCAGCATGGGCCACTGACCACGGAACTCAGCATAACCTTGTTCACATGGATGCTCCAATTAACAGCCTTTGTCCTGATCTACTTTGGTGTCACCATCCCTCAAGTTGCATATGCAGTCATAGCAGTCAGCCTCTGCTCCAAAGGCCTGTGTTACCCCCTGGGTGCTGCCTGTCATATTGCCAGGTCTGTGTCTGTTTGTCAATGTCCAAGTCCTGGGAGAACCAGGAAATACTGGAAGCTGATCATGAAAAAAATCCTACACTTCAATAATGGTTTAGGAATTTCTAGTACTAGTTCAGAATTTTGCCAATTGTGAAACTGCCATGGGAAAGGTTTAAGGTCCAGAGACATAGAAATTATTTTTCACTTGGCAGTTTTAATCACGAGTTTTGTTCTGTGGATAATGGAGAAGTGTGAATGTGTTCTTAAGGACAAATGTAGCACCTTCTAGTCCACGGCATATGGCAACCAGAACATTTCTGTTTGATTGATGAGACTGCAGCAATACTGCCTTGGTTTGACGTGCAGTGAGAGAAGCTGCAGGGAACTCGTATGGAATCTTAGGGATAAAACAGTGTACCATCACCAAGGATGCAGCTGTTCAAAAGTGACAGTCCTTGGAGGTTGAAGAGAGTTCAGAGACTAAAATCATATGTCCACAAAATAGTATTCTCCATTATTTTAGTTTTTCTCCCTGTCATTCATAGAAGCAATCTATCAGAACTATGGAGGTATTCCTAGAGGCCTATTTACATTGTGGAATTGAACAGGAACTGCTTGCAGTAGGTAGACCTTAACTTGCTAAGTGTTTGCAGTAGCAATACAGGAACAATGTTTTGCTCATCCTTGAATTTGAAGTATGTTTTAGCATAAGTGCAACGCTCAAATGAAGATTCTAAAAAGCCCTGCCAATTGACATCTGTTTTTTACCTTCAGTGATGGATGGCATCCAGCTTCAGAGTCTTTAGTACAGACTGTACCATAGCTGTGGACTCTGCTGAACCGCAGAGAAATAGGAAGAGGCAAAGGCTAGAACTGGCATAACCAAAATAATAAAAACCAAATAATTTGGGGTTGTTTTTCTTTTGTTTTTTTATACATACTGTTTAGCTTTGAAGAATGCACTGCTTTAGTCTTGTCTTCTCTTTTTACATGCTGAAGCATGACCTGAATTGAAGCTTTTTTATTTTAGGTAGAATTTATCATTTGTTGTAGACCAATTTTTGCCTGCAGCTGAGGAGCATTAGCTGTTTCAAAAGCAACATGTAAGATCAGCACCTGCTGTAAGCAGGTTCAGAACACTCTGGAATCAGTATAATGTGGCCACAAGTTCACTTTTACTTTACAGTTTTACTCTGAAACACGGTAGTTTAACCTTAATGTGGGTTCTCTCTTTTTGGTTTTCATGAACTGATGCTTCTGTGAAGAAATACAGCTCTACAATCTCAGGAGATTACTAATGGTTTTTGAATTTTTCTGTTACGAAATCCTTAAGCCACAGCACCAAACTGTGAGGCCATGATGCCAGATACACAGTTCAGAGCAGCAAATATATCAAAATAATTTAGAGTCTTGCAGTATGTCTTGTTAAGAACAGTGTATCTCACTGAGCCAGCAAGACCCTTCACCATTTGGCCTGAACAACAGCTTCAGTTCTCCGCTTTAAAGGATATAAGGAGGAAGGCTGAATGCTGCTGATGTTGGAGCAGGTGTTTTTATACAGAGCTGAAAGTTTGTGGGCACCCAGCCCTTGCTTATCTTAGCTCATCACAACATTTAAATTGAAAGCAGTTGACAGAAAGAAACAGAACATGGCACACTTTCTAATTTATATCTAATTATATTATACATTGCTACGCAGCAGCTAAAAAACCATTGGATTGTAAACATTTTGGCCTCAGACTACTCAGTTTTGTAATTCAAAGCAAGATTTAAGAGAAGCCATCTAGTAAACAACATGAACAACTCACAACAGGCTTAGAGCATTGCTTATCTTTGAAGCAACATATGCAAACTGGGTTTTGATTCAGCCCATGTCTCTGCACAGACACATTTTGCATTTTGCACCTAAAAATGGCTGAGCAAGCAGCCATCTCTAATTCTGTGAGATTTTAGTCCATGCATACACAATAAGGACCTGATCTAAAGCTCATCTGAAGCTCATTAAATATAACGTGACATTCTACAGCTTTGCTTAAGACCGAGGGTAAACAGGTTAGCAAACATTACATACCTTGTCCTCAAACGTAAGAATGCAGCTTGTTCTCTTAAAAGAGTAGAGGTGACTAATGCATGTTAATAGCAGGTATAGAGAAAATGGGCAGATAATTACATCCCAGAAGACTTTATAAATACTGATTATTTTAATTTTGTTCTAGAAAAATGAAGCATCTTTTTAAATCAAAAAAATTGGTGTTTAAATACCTTACTGAAGAGGAGTATCGAGAACAAGGTGAAAGCGAAACTATCAGAGCTCTGGAGGAGCTGCGCTCATTCTGCAGGAGCCCAGACTTCCCATCGTGGATAGCTGTATCCAAACTCCAGGCTCCACACAGGTAAGAAAACCTGGCTCCTCTAAAACAGGAAACACATTGCAGACCCAAATGCCACTTCAGGCACTGTTCCAGGTGTGTTTATCTTGCATATCCCACTCAACGACCACAGCCACACCTCTCAAGGGTATTACTCACTGGTGGCATTAAACTTCTGTTTGTTCCTCCCTGACCACAAATTACTCTTGGGATTTTGCAGACCTTCACAGCTGATTCATGATCATAGAACTTAGAGGCTTCTACAATGCCTTTATAAGCTCTTGCAGTGACCCTGGTGGCTCTAACCAGGGAAATGCCCTCCTTCAGGTTTTAGAGTGGTGCCCTTTTCTGTGGTGTAAAACTGGGGCACAGTGAAGAGACATACTCAAATATTACCTATATTAAGCTTTCCAACTGCAAATCTGCACAATCAGGGAACCCTATTACTTAGAAGTATCACTATCTAAGATTAAGAATACAAAGAAATCAATACCTGCAACTAGCAAGTAGAGCAGGTAGAAAAGCTGTGCCATGTATAGCTTAAGAGATAAACCTAAGACAAATACAGGTCAGGAAGGGTCAAGCAAGCAAAGCCAGAAAACCCTGCAGAAGATAAAATTAATCATAACAGTGTACTCACATCAAAAGAAAAACTTGGAAGAGATCAGAAGCAGAGTTTCATGTATTAACCAGCCACAAGGACTTAGTCCTTCCCACAGAATCAAGTGTCACGATTTTAAAGGAACCCCAGTCAATTTGGAATTTATCAATAACAAATTAAACCTAGTTCAGAACCTTCATCTTCCTTGGACTGGCATGCAGACAGCCTCTCTGCCAGGTTTTATAGATTTACTGTTCAACAGTCTTACTTTCTAAGCTGCTTGCCTTCTTTTGAATGATGGAGAGACAAAAAAGTGAAAGCTTACTTTTGTACTGTAGAACTAAATACCACCAAATGTACAAAACAACTTCAGACACATGTATTTTCTAGCCATCATTTCGTTAATAGAGTTGTTAGGAACTGTTCAGTGGTTGAGAATAGGGAAATAAAAAGGAGAACCAACAGCAGTAAGATTTAGAGAACCCCTCCCAGCTCCCATTAAGCATCAGACTGTGGTTCATCCCAAGGCAAACCTGTTCTCCATTTAGACTAACAGAGCTTCCAAGAAGAGTGAGGTGACGACATTCATCTCACAGAAATGTTAAGTCTGAAATGTAAATTATTGATCAGTTTACCAGAACTCCAGAATGTAGTTGCATTTCCTTTTTCATACATTTCTCTGATGCTGTCGACACTTACCCAGGTGTCAGAACTGCCGTCTGTTCCCATACTCTTGCCAGAAACCTTCAGCTCCGTTCTGTCTCTTCAATGGAGTTGCCCACTGAAAGGAAGAGTTGTGGGGGATTGCGGAACTGGGACAGTGCTAAGTTCATGCTTTGTCTGGGCATTTACTTGAAGCAGCTGCAGAACTCCTAGTCTGCAGCTCCAGCTTCACTAGAGGCAGGAATTCTTTAGGAAGACTTGAGCTCAGCTTGCCCACAGTGTGCACGCAGCACCAGCAACAAGATGACTACACACAATGTAGGAGTGCAGAATTCTTGCCATTTTTTCCTTTCATTAGAAATATCAACACACCTGAATTCTTACAGCCTTTGTCTCAAATATACTACAGCTTTAATTTATTCTTAGAAACTAAAGTACCAACTACCCCAGTGTACAAATACGTAATCTAGATTACCCTGCAAGTACTGACAAGACGTGAAAACTAAGTTTGATCTTTTTGTTAGTCACAAGACCTTGCAGATGGTTTCCAGAAGAGCAAAAGTTACTTCTACAGAAAATACTGAAAAGATGAGTTGGGAAAACCAATCTTTGCGGTTGTTGCCATCCGTTATTGGAACTTCCTCTCATCTGCACTGCCTGTGGGGATGTCCTTACAACACTCCTTAAATAGCACTAACCCTAGAATTTACAGTATTTCTTCTTTTAATTTCTCAGCTGATAACTCTTCCTTTCTGGCAGGTTTGCAGCTTTTGTTCTGGGATCTCCCCACGTCTCACTTGCAGAAACAAAGGCGCATGAGGAGCAGTATGGCATTGGGAGCTTCTTCCTGGAAGAGCAGCTGTTTGAGACAAGGGCACAGTCTGAGCAAGATGAGCCAGCCAATTCTGTCCACGAAGAAGATGAGGAGAATGAAAATGAAATGCATACACAAATTCCATTTCCATATGCTAATGAGCTGCTCTGAAATTTGAGAAATAACAATAACAAAAACGAGACAGAAAACACACTTGTCCTAGAAAGGGAGGATACAGAATGAGAACTCATGCTTGGCCTTTTCTTGTGGTTGCTGGTGGACAAAGATGGATTTTTGAAAAAAACTGTTTCCTGTATCACGATGTTACCTATTAGAGCTACAGAAGAACACCACAGGGGCTGTTCAAGTGAAGAGAAAGCTCATGCTACGGGTATTTTCACTAGGTAAACAAACATTGTGTATTTCCAAGGCAAGTACAGGAGACAGCCTGTCCACGAGGATGCCTTCTTTTACCAAGGACACTACCTCTAGTAAACAGGGAATCTATTTTGGCCCTTTCCATCATCAAGTCCTCTGTGCTGAGCACTAGAGGGAGGAAAAGTCATTTTTAATACTCTCCTTTATACTAAATACTCTCTGTGTCAAGACTTCTGATAATGCTGTTAGAGTGTCGATAAACTGTTCGTTGTGAGACTTTTCTTAGAGAGTTAATGCAGTCAGCTGCATTAACAAGGTTTGTTTCCTCTCCTGGCTAGGCTGGTCTGTTAACTTAATTCTGCCTCTGCCTTTAGTTTTAAGCTCCCCTTACTCCTCAGAATGCTGCCTGACTTTTTACCCTCTGCCCATACTATTCTGTTCATACTACCTCTGCTACACTGCATTTTGTTCTTTCCAAGCCTTTGTTTATTTATATATTTTCTTCCCTCTTGTAGCAGATCTTCTTCTAAACCTTTAGCAGATCTGCTAAACCTTTCTCTAGCCCTCTGCTTCTCCCACCTCTAACAATGGAGATGGTTCAGGAGAGGTTTTCCATCCCCAAACATTTTTGCTATTGCCTTCAGTTTCAGTGTCAGCTTACCTCAGGTGGGTGCTGCTGTCTATTCCAGGCTTCTCGAGAGCCCCAAAAAGGCCACAAAGGCTGAGGCTGTTTCAGCTGCTTGGAGAAACTGCTATTAACAGAGCCAGAGTCCTGCTGTGAGCCTGGAACTGGGAATGCAGATAACCCACACAGAGCTCCACTGGCCTCAGCGTACTCAGTAGTTTGTTCAATGAGTAAGAAGCAGAAAATCTTTCCTGGCAAAACAATGAGGGAAGATACCTGGCTTTTACCTTCCCCTTCTCAGCCATCTGTGGGACTTCTCACAGGACAAGTGGGGAGGACCAGAGAGAAATTTAGGCAGTCATATATATTTCAGCTTAGGTATTACACAGTCCTAGGCTAGGGAGTAGTGTGTGTACCTCAGTTCATCCACCTGCAGATGTAATTTCTTTCCTTTGTTCTTTAGACTATCCCTCCCTGTATTCTGTTCTCTCTTTGCTGTCTTCTTCTACTGTCTTACAAACTGCAGAAAACAAAAGACCATTAATTCTGATTAATTCACCATCTGATCTTACAAACCCACCAGGGGAGCAGTTGGTGCTCAAGAAGACATGTCAGACTGGGATCTATCCACTTTAAAAGGGATCTCTGTTCTTTGTAACATGCCTAGTGGTGCAGCATGACTTCAATAGTGCAGGTGCTGTCCTGGGTTCTCCTTGTCCACCACTGCAGCACGGACAAAACCCATTACCTCCGATGGTGCTAAGAAGTGTGGCCATACCATAATCCAAGAGCTCCTCTCCTCCAACAAAGGACTCAGAGTTGGTGCTTGAAAGCCTTAAAGCCTTACTGACCTGGTCTTTCCTCCTCTACATTGTTTCAGCTTTGCTTCAGTTTAGAAGGAACACTTCCATTTTCCAGTATGACACCCTTTAGTGCCATAAAATTTTAAGTACCTATGCAGAATCTAAAGCATGTTTAGCAGAGAAAAGCCATGTCAAGCAGGTGATCCAAAATGCATTAGCTGTTAAATCAAGATCATTCAAAAACAGAACAAGACTTTTGTTTAGGAAGGCCACTAGCAGTAAGACTCATCCCTAAGAGAGGCTGGTGCTACCAAATCCACAGCTAAATTGCCATGCATACTCAGGAGGTCAGGTTTGGCTTGGGGAGCTCTGCACTAGCAACATGCAGTTATGAAAATAGAGGAAAGCCTCATTATCTTGGCTGGTTTGGGAGAAGGGTGGAAACTTCCCCCATGAACAATGACCATAGACCAAATCAGATTTATTTAATCTTTGTGTCACCATCATGAAATGGAGTACTTAAAATCAATACAGACTACACAAAGGATAGTCAAAGAGATGTCTTAATGTTTTTTTTATGTTTTAAAGTACACAAGTCTTTTTCAGTGTACTTCATAGCTAGCCAAGAACTCCCATCCAGGCAATTTGAGGCCAAGGAAGAGAATCAGATTTGTCTGAACTTAAATGCACAGTTTTTCTGGATGTCCTCTCTTTAGTGATGTAGTGATGATTACCCTTCCATAATATGGAGGCATGTAAGTACATATAGGTACTGTGTAAGTACATAATATGTATTTACATACAATAACCCAGATTATACATTAAGGTAGTATTTTACCTAAGCAATATGTTAAATGGAAAAGCACCCCCCAACCCAGTTTAGGTAATTGAATTTTTTAGAAAAGCACCAGGTACACCTACTTCAACAAGGAAAAAAGTTAAAAAGCAATAAAAATTAAATAAAAATCAACTCTCTGTGTAGTTGTGAGATCATAATTTGGCAGGGATGGGTAAATACTATTCAAAACAGAGCAGGAAACTACTAAATGCATGCAAAACAGAACAGCAGCAACAGGAGAAAGATGATGGCTACCTTAGTGGGTAGCTAATAGTGACCTTAAAAATCCTCCCAGGCCTGTTCCAACCCTGAAACGGTTTCATAAACAAAACCTACCAAAACCAGCTGCTGTCACTTGGAGCCCTGTTCACTTGCACAGCGCTCCTGTGTTATGTGGAGATGACACAGCCTTACTGAAACACAATTGGTAAGTACTGTTGTTTTGGTTTTCAGCCAGAAAATCTAGGAACAGAATCTAGGCATTAATCCATTGCCCTAACTCCTACAAAAGCCTTTCCCCCTTAACAAAGGATGTTACATTTTTCTCTGCTCCGTGGTGTTCACAGTGATGCCCAGCGCTCTTCCATATTGACCAGTTTACAATGCACATTGGTTTGTGTCCTTTACATTCCCTGCACGCCACAGAAGGGAATTGGTGCCTACAGTCAGATTTTATTATCAAATGCTATTTTAACACAGTGCAAGAGTACTTCCCAAGCTCTTGGTTCAGCATCCTCCAGTGACTTTAGTAAAAGGTCATTATCACTGAATTATTTTCACTTCAGGTTGGTTATGTTCACTGCTGACACTAATATGAACAAATAAAATAAAAGTTCATGTTGATACTATTAAATATGTTATGGATATTTTATATTTCTTACCACAGTTTTTACAGTTTCACAAATATCAAAATCCAGGTGTACATGTCCATTTTGCAACATAGAATGACTATACAATTCCAAAAAGAGCAGGCATTTCAAATACACAATTCTGAAGTGTAAACACAGTGTACAAGCTCTTCACAATCCAGGTGCTATGCAGTAGCAGCTGAGGTAACACCATACAGCATGAACTCAACAAATGGTTGGTTAGCCTCAAGATGATTTTTAGCATCCTTCTGTCCTGTCACCTGTTCAGTCTTCAGTTCTCCTCCAGGTTATACAAACATAAAATAAATACATTTCTGATTTTAAAGGACACTTAGACAAGTCATGAGGATTTATGTGAGTACAGTACATTAAGTTTAAGTGCAAAAAAAGTAACTAGTGGCTAGTCATTGATGTTTCTTTTTATTGTCTATGGTGTTGGTCCCAGGCACTGCCAGAACGTGGGTTGTTCTAAAAGCACAGCTAAAGCACAGCTATGGGACAGCCCTTCAGTCAAGCTAACAGATGTCATACTGTGCACCCCCTTCCCTGCTCAGCTGCTGCCACCTTCCTCTCCCTGACTCTGGGCTCCTGCTGGCCTTGCCTCTGGCCCAGCTTGGTCCCCCAGCAGCACCTTCCCTAGGGAAGGCCTCGTACCTCACACACATCTCACTTCAGGAGGGCAGCTGAGCAGTGCTCCCTCAGTCCCAAGGGAGCAGAGTGCTCAGGATCTCCTGGGAACAAGCTGCTCATCTAAGAAAATAGACCAAAACACTATCCTGACTAAACCCCCCTGACTCTTCCCTGAGCCCAAGGATTCCCCTCCAGCAGCAATTTTCACTACGCACCAGCACGAGCTGGCTGCAGACAGTATTAAGAAGCATAACCAAACATAATCCAAAGTCCTCCAGTGTCTTGACATTGGGCAAAGTAACTTCCTAAACATGCTGCAATTGAGTTACATTTGCTTCCTCCTGAGAATCTCTCACTCTATTTGATTTCTGCATCTACTACTTTGCCCCTATAATCCTAAACATTTAAGATTTTTAGGCAATTCCTCCCTACCCCCCCACCTTCCCTAGGCACTTAAAGCTTACTGTTTTCTTAATAAATAACCATAATAACTACACTTCATTAAATAAACCCCTGTATAAATGATGAAATAAAAAACCCAAAAAGATCATTGATCAATCTCAGGCTGTGCAATCTGGGTCAAAGATTCTTGTCTCAGTATAACACCAAACCTAAAATTACCCAAATGCACACAACCTTATGCCCACCTGCAGGGCTGCAAGCACAGAGGGTAACTTCTTCAGAAGCTTTCCTCCAGCTTTTGTGTTGCACTAAAATGCCAGTTCAAAACCTCTGCAGAACTAAACTTCTATCTCAAACAACAGAACAATAGCTTCAAAAACATATTCTTTGAATATGCATGTGGTTTACTTAATCCATCACCATAATATTAAGATACGCTTTCTTAAGCTACTCTGTTTCTTAGAAATCTTTCCAGAGACAGTTTCATGACAGTCCTAGAATTATTAGATCTGGTATTTTCTTTAGATCTGTATTTTCTGATTCAAGGAAACTCAGTGTCTCTCTTAAAAAGTCTTTTAAATTTTATTTGGGAATAAATGTAAAGAAAAAAAAATTATCCCATCAAGTCAGACACACTGTGCCTCAACAAATGAGGAGTGAACTCCCTTTCTTCCACAGATGGCAAAGAAATTTCATAGCACTTGACTCAGCTTTAGCAAAGCAGCTGAGAATTCTTTCTACCATTACATCTGGCTACATCACTTCCCTCAAGAATCCGACCTTTTGGCTTCCCTGCTCATGTTGCTCTGTGTAGTCATATGAATATTCTTTATATAGTTAAAAAGCTTGCACTGCATCACATTATGATTGTTAAGATGAAGGAAGTCCTACTTTTGAGCTCCTACTCCAGCGTTTCCCAGGTGAGAAGCAGAATTCCATGCACTGGATTTGGAAAGATGAGAGCATCTCAGGGCCCTGCAGCAGCAGGCTGAGCATCATGATCCAACACCACGTGGTTGCCATCTGCTTGGGAATCTGATGGGGCTGTAGGTGTTGGTACAGAACAATTTCTGGACTGCTCAGAATCTGTTGGATTTTGGGGTTGTCTTGCTGAGCTGGCTGATGAAGCACTGCAATTCTCATTGGTTTTCTAAAAAGAGGGGAAAGATTGACAAAAGTCAACATAAATTCTCAGAACACTGTCCCCACTGGCAACCCCCAGATGCATTCAGGCACTGCTGGAACGTCACAAAGCATTGCTTTGAATGCTCAAAACATAGCAAGTCAAATGTAAAGCAGCAAAGCAAAAGTAGTACATTTAAAACCAGATTACACTAATAGCAAGCAGACAGCAGCTTACCTTCCATCTCTTTTCCTAACTGCACTTTCCCAAGAAGCATGCAAAAAACAAACTTGTGTTTCAAGGGGAATAAAACAATTAAGTGGACTTCAAAGTGTTTAGACAAGATAATGCTTTTGACAAAGCAAGTCTATAACTTTTTTTTGCCACACTTCTTAAATACAGCTTTTCACAGTTGATCCCACCCTCCCCAAGAAACTGCTCAGACTTTCTGACTGGCAGAATTTTTACTGTATTGATGGACAAATCAAACAAGCCTAATCAGGAAACATAAGAGAACCTTTAAACACAGTTACCAGGGCTGAAACAGCAAACCTCCACAATAACATATTTCATTAGAAGGTGATGCACTGCCTATGATTATTTGTTTTGTACTGAAGCATAGAGAATGAGGCCAGTAAGTCCCTTTGTTTGAAGGACTATGAGCAAGCAGAAGCAAAACTGACCAAAATCTTAATGAAATAGGAAGGAATAATTTTTGTCATTAAAAGAAACTATTTAACAAACTCAGTAAGAGAGCTTGGCAGCCTTTTCCTAGTTTCAGTATTTTAGTATCACCAGCCTAAAATAAATGTCTGAGCACAAAACCTGAAATATTTTGAAACAAGTTTGTCCTCTTGGAGCACTGAAACAGGGATGAGAAATTTTGGAGAATACACAATGAAGAAAATGATACAATTTTCTTGGTGCATTGAATTCTGGCACATTAACAAGTAATACTTTTGTATCAGCACTGTATTTTTTACAGGAATAAAAGAATAGTGAAGACAACATGTGCCACAGAGAACAGGCACGAAAGCCTTTCTGGCAATTCACACTGCTCAGGGAAGCAGCTGGGTTGTCTCCAGCAGTGTTGGACAAGTCACTCTCAGACACCACACACCTGCAAAACATTATTTTCTTGCCATGTTCATTGCCTGAGTTCTGGGTAACTTCTTTGCTCTGATTTAACAGAGGGAAGCTTACACTAACCAAGACCCTGAGGACATTTGCAATGAGAAACTAAGCGATTAGTCTGGATACATTACTTTGATCTCAGAGACCTTGTGATATCTTCAGCTCACATTCTTTGACTCTGGAAAGGTCAAAACCAAACAAAACCCCAGCTAACCTAAAGCATGCCTATAACACATTTCCAAGAATAAAGTCAAGTAAGAAAGGCAGGAGGTTGTTGACCAGGTGAAATTCCTACACCCAGCTCTGCTGATTCACACTCACATCCCAAATTACCCATTTCTAAAGACAGCAATTGTGGAAAAAGCATTTCTGTGTTTACGCCCACTGGGTGCAAGAAGGAACCTCACCCACTCTGAACTTCAGACAGGTAAACACAGGGCTGAGACTGACCATGCTGTTCCAAACCCTGACAGCACCTCCCTACTTGGCTTAGCAGTGTGCTCCAGCTCCAGTTGGATAGGCACGGCCAGAGCATTACAAGATCCAAGCCCATCCAACCACTGAGGCAGCTATTACAAGCTGCTCTGTGGGAAGACTGAACAGAAGGGTAATGATGCACAGTAAACACCAGCCACCAAATATTTTAAGTCCCAGGATGGCTCTTATCTGGTATAACTCTAGGTAAAAGAGATTAACTTCTTTTGAAAAGAAGGTTCTGTATCCAATCAGCAGCTGTCTGGCACACAGCAGCCATGTACATGTCTGACAGCATCATCTAAGGAGGTAAAACTAAATAAAAATAATTTTACAGTCTGTTAAGCAGCTGTGCATCTTCATGTTCGCAAAATGCATAACCTGCACATTCCAACTAATATGAAAAGAAACGTAAACTTAAAGGGAATCCAAGTATATCCAAGTCTGCAAAACAAAGTCTCTTTCTGTGTCTCCTTCTACCATCTTCAGGAAGATACTACTTGCAAAGTTATTCCTGCTACATTATACATAGAAAACAACTCTATTTAATGCAGTATTTCAACTATTGTGTCACAAGTCCAGTTTTACTACAAGCTGACAGAAAATACCTACCAGGTACTAACAGATTTACAGAGCTATCAAGGTTTCAAGGCTGCTAAAATTACGTAAGAACTTCCTGAACATTAGATGATTACCTGCAAAGGCTGATTCTCAGGAGCTGGGTTGGTTTTGGATAGTTTAACCATCTCTTTTATCTGGTAGACAGCATAAGCTAAGGTGACCCACGGAGAAGAACTGATGCCCCAGGCAGGCTTGTTCACATCCTCTTGCTCTTCTTGGTGTTTAGTTTTCTTTGGAGGGAGTCTGGGCTCAGTCCGAGGCATGATATCTTCCGACTGCTGTTGCACAAGGTCAATAGTTGCTATGGGAACAGGACTGGAAGGCACTGGAATCCTTTCTGCCAGCATTGTCTTTTCTGAAGTTTAAAAAAAAATTATCACTGGCATAGCCAACAAGCTTAGAAAAGAACAACCCTGAAGCAGACAATGAGCATGAAGTGTTTCTTGCTTTCACACTGTGGTTATCACTGCCCTGAAAGCAGAGCACTGGCTCGAGCCCCCAGGAGTCAGACACAGTACAGTCTGGTTAGGGAAACGTGGCTGCTGTGCCACTGCACGGGGCTGAGGAGCATGAAAACCTCCAGCTGTGCCCAGCA